ACCGGTATTCCAGAAAAAAACAACATTATGTCAAAATCGATTCTTTACAGATTTTGGTTTTAGATATCGGCCCTTATGACGATTAGGGATAGTCGATTAGGGGGAATCGAACCCGAGACCCCTTGCCCGGCAGTCACACTTGGGCCCACTCGGCCAACGAGGCAGTCAGAGTCAGAGTGGTTAATAAGGGTGAGTATCCTTCATAGTGCCCCAGGTAAGATTATTTGATATCAAGAGAGAACTCAGCTCAGGTTAGCTGGGAACGTCATTCCTCCCCGAGTGTCCTAAGACTAAGGGACTATAAGCATTCATTCGTCATTCACCGACTAGAGCGAACGCGCTTTGTGCTGTTACTAAGTAAATGAGTTTCTGTTTCGAATAGAATATATTGTAATCAGTGTGTAAGATAGGCTTCTCAGTGTTTTCGCGTCAAAAATAAACATTCAATCCACAAGCAAATAGGGCGCGCTAGTTTTATTCGCACACCGTCGCGAGAATAATAAATTATTATAAAACAATTACGTAGTGCAGTGTATAAGTGAACCTCACTAACCGTGCGGTAATTATCTACCTAAAGACTCGTACCTGAACGCAGTGTACACACAATGGTGCTTTCCCCACAAGGCAATAAATGCCAATCGGTTCCTGACTTGCATTCAAGCATGGATGCAGACGCTGCCATTAATATAACACAGAGAAATCCTAAGAGGAAACAGCCCGACTGTGAACTTGCATTGGCTATAACTACACTCACCGAAGAATTTAGAAGACAAGTGAATGCTTTACGTGTTGACATGCACGACCAGTTCGCAAGCATAAACGCGAGTATTAATAATCTTAGAGACGAGTTTAATAATTTGGCTTCTACCTCCGCTCAAACACAAAATGATTTAAAAGCATTACGTACAGAATTCTCCGATACCAAAAAGGATGTATTGATGCTAAATACAAAATACCAGGAACTATCGAGGGTCGTGACAGATTTGCAGTCGTCGGTCAACTTTAATTCAGCGAACAATATTGATAACGTGAAACGTATTGCGGAGATCAAGTTGGAGTTTGACATTTCTGCGTCTGAGACTAAGCGGATGTTCCAAAGTGAAATAGATAAGCTGAATCAGAATGCTCGTCAGTGCAATATTGAGATATGCAATCTACCTGAAAAACGTGGTGAAAATCTATTTGTCATCTTCGAGTCGATTGCGTCTATCATCAACATGCCTATAAAACAACAAAATATCGTGGCTATTCATCGTGTCCCACACGCACACACACAGAATTCACGTCCTAAAAATATTATAGTAAAGTTGACCTCCCAGATACTTCGTGATAACATACTGAGCGCTTATCGGCTGTCTAAAGGTATCACATCGGATCGTGTGGGTCTCGCAGGCACGCAATGTCGTATTTACATGAACGAGCACCTGACGCTTCGTAATAAAGAGTTATTTCGGAAATGTCGCGAAGCTGCAAAAACATTCCATTATAAATATGTATGGGTTCGTAATGCCACTATATTGGTCAAGGAAACTGATGATTCATCAGCCTTTGCAGTCCGCACGGAAGATGATATACATAAAAAGTTCAAATCTAACAATCCCTCCAATAAAATCATCGATAAAAACCCATCTTAAATTATATTGTTTGTATAACCTTTCATTTAAAAATAAAACATTGTTCTGTATTGTTTTTTATCGCTTGTATGGTACGTTCAAAGGTGTCATTATTTTTTTGCTCCATATTTTAAAATACTGTTTCCAATATAAAATAAAACTTGATAACATTGCACACACGCGTCACGGTCCTGACACCGGTGGTTACATTGTTGCTGGATACTATAAACACTTAGATGTATTGTACGTTTACTCGCTGTTTTATGTTTCCGATGTAATGTTGATGGATTGCCGTCGGAGTTGTGAGTATTGGTTTTTCTATATTAAAGGTGTGAGTCTAGGATTTACTTTTGTAATTAATATCATTATACCCCCACGTTCTGAAAATGGCTGACAATGACAAACTTTCCGTTTATTACCAAAACTGTCGAGGAATCAGGACGAAACTAAATACCTTATATTTAAATATTTTATCACATACATATGACGTCATTATCTTGACCGAGACCTGGTTGACGCCGGACATAGCCGATAGTGAATTTATTGATCATCGCTATTTGGTATTCAGATGTGATCGCAACCGTGCACTCACTAATAAAAGGGATGGAGGTGGTGTCCTTGTGGCCGTGGCGAAGGAATTGAAACCGACCTACCTCTCATTTTTGCCCCCGTTAGCATTGCCGGAACATGTTATAGTGAAAATACCCTCTAGTGATAATAGATATCATTTAATTTGTGCGACCTACATACCTCCGGGCTCTGATGAAAGAATGTATTTGACTTTTCTTGATTCTCTGTCTGTTTTATGTGACAACCCTCACATTGATAATATTATTTTAACAGGTGACTTCAACTTGCCTTTGATTAATTGGGAAATAAAAGTCAACTTATATGAAGTATGCTTTTAACAATAAAAACACAGATATAAATTGCAATCTGATGAACTTCTGCTCTCAACAATATCTAAATCAGTATAACCATGTATTTAACTCGGTGGGACGCATCCTGGATTTATTTTTTTGTAACACTTACACCGTTTTGTTTGCCCCGGATGCTCCCCTCTTACCTGTAGACACTTTTCACCCTCCTTTCTATGTACACGTTTCTATCTCCTGCCCCTCACACAACTCCAAGCGCAATGCTAATGGGAGACTCAATTATCACAAAGCTAACTACAAAAATATAAATGCGGAGTTAAGTAATGTTGATTGGAACTATTTACTCGATAATTTGGCACCTAATGATTGTGTATCTGCATTCTATGAAAAACTTTATGAAGTAATAAAAACGCACACGCCAGTAGTTAGACCTAAAAATGTGAATTACCCGATATGGTTCTCTGGGTCTCTTATAGCTATATTTAAATGTAAAACTCGTGCTTGGTGTAGATGGAAGAGGTACGGGAATCTGCGCGATTATGAGATGTTTTCCATCAACAGAACTAAATTTAAAAAAGTAGCTCATCAATGCTATATTAACTATATAAACTCTGTTGAGGACAATGTTGCTACTAATGTTAAAGCTTTTTGGACTTATGTTGCTAGCCGTAAAAATATTAATAAAATCCCAACATCGGTTCATTACAATCATGCATCATCTAATGATCCTATCACTACCTGTAACTTGTTTGCTAAATTCTTTCACTCGGTGTATGAGCCCTCTTCCTTTGACTGCGACTCATGGATGCCGCCCAATGATGAGGCCGAAAATGATATCAACCTGTGTAAACTGCAACTTCCCGTAGATGCTATACGTAAAGAATTGAAATCCCTTGACCCATCTAAAGGTCCGGGCCCAGATGGAATCCCATCAGTCTTTTTAAAAAACACAAGTGATACAATTTGCTATCCCTTATTTATCATATTTAATAAATGTTTATCGTATGGCGTCTTTCCTGATACTTGGAAACATGCAAATATTGTTCCAGTTCATAAGAGTGGATCCAAACATGACGTTACGACTTATCGGCCCATATCTATATTGTCTGCATTCTCTAAACTCTTTGAGAGACTAGTACATAACGTGGTTTATCCGACCATACATAATGTCCTCATTGGTGAGCAGCATGGATTCGTTAGGGGTAGATCTTGTATTAGCAATCTCCTAATTTTCACGTCTTATCTATTTAAAGGTATTGATTCTAGACAACAAATTGATGCAGTCTACACAGATTTCCAAAAGGCGTTTGACAAAATTGATCACAAATTGCTACTTAATAAAATCGCTTACAATGGGATTAGGGGGGATCTTTTGCGATGGTTTGTGTCTTATATAACTAATAGAACGCAAAAAGTTGTGATAAGTGGCTTCGAGTCCAGCTGTATTTCGGTCACGTCGGGTGTCCCTCAAGGTTCCATTCTGGGTCCTTTACTCTTCATTTTATTCATTAATGATATAAAAATCTGTTTTCAACATTCTAAGTTTCTACTTTATGCAGATGATTTAAAGGTATATAAAGTCATAAATAACAGGCAGGACTGTATTAATTTCCAGCATGACCTAAATCGTTTTTCAAATTATTGCTTCACCAATAAGCTTTTTCTCAGTCTTCCTAAGTGTCACGTTATAACATTTACCAAAAAGAAAAATAAAACTGAATTTAATTACTCCCTTGCTAATACTTTCCTGGTTAAAGTTAATTGTCTTCGTGATCTTGGGGTCCGGCTGGATTCGAAGCTACATTTAAATGTTCATATAGATGGAATAGTTAATAAAGCATACCAAATGTATGGTTTCGTTATGAGGGCCTCTAGGGAGTTTCGTAGACCTTCCACCTTTTTGTATTTATACAAATCTATAATTAGACCTCAATTGGAGTTCGCAGTACCTATATGGAACCCGCTGTACAAGAAATATAATGATACTTTGGAGATGGTACAACGCAAATACATTCGTGCAGTTGGTTATAGATGTGATCGCAGAAGATCCTCATACTATCCATTACTTAAAAAGTATGATCTTTTAACATTACAGTCGCGACGAACGTTCCTGGACATTATGACTCTGTTTAGTGTGTGTCGCAATGGGTTCGATTGTCCTGACTTGATTAATAGTATATACTACCTGGTTCCTCGCACGGCTTATATACGGGAGGTGCGCGATCGGCGTTTGTTTGCCAATAACTATTGCAGAACCAATGCTGGCTCACGTTCGCCTCTTCATCGCATGGTTGAGGCTTACAGCGGTGAGTTTAACGGAATTGACATCCTATTTTTGAGTAAAAACGTTTTTAAGAGGCAAATTCGGACATCTCTTATGGATCGACAGTCTGTCTGTGACGCTGTGTGTGTACGAAATTGCAAGAATTGTAAAAATTGTTAAAATTTGTTGGTGACCATTTTAATTATTCGTGTAAGTGGTGCATCGTAAATCTATGAAGGCTATTGTCTTTGTTTCACATTAGTTTATTCTATTTGAAAATGTAACTATATTTGTGTCACTCTAGATCTAATATAAAAAGTAATCTGTGGAGAACGTAGTGGGTAACATATTTGCCAAGTATAATGTGTAAGCTGAATTATGTATATTTTGTAATATGTTACTGTTTGTTTTTCCTTAAATAAATAAATAAATAAAACCCCTTTTTTTTTTGAGGGGGGAAAATCATCCAATGACTTCTCCCGCCCGGGTGAGGCGAGAGGGAGTGTCAGACTCTTACTGACTAAAAACCACCCCGTTCCTACTCCTGCACTTCGAGCCGGAGCCCCGGCAACCCGTTAAGTCTTCCGCGGCTCCGTATCGGCATCAGCCCTGTTTCTCTGATAAACCTGAACCTTGTATATTGCGATCGCCAACCCGCCTGCCTGCGGAGATCATGACAAACCCTCTTATGTAGAGGAGGCTCATAGTGCAGCCGAGGGCGTTAAAGAGAGCGTTTGGGCTGGCGGGTTGGAGATCGCAGTATACAAGGTTCAGGTTTATCAGAGAGCGCTGCTGCACGGTCTGTCTAATGTGTCCCTACGGCGACAGACAGATGTATCATTTTATATTCTCAAAGTAACATCTAATCTGTGATTGTAAAGTATAATTTTCTATCATTAATCTACCATTTAATGCAGACAGAAGTCTTAATAAGTATCTTATTATAAAATTACTAAACAAACTAGTTTTGTTAGCCATATTAGCAAATGGTTCGCACGGAGTAGAATTATGAAGTAAGGAGTGCCATGTCTATAGGAATTAAATAAGAGTGTTTATTTAAATGTTACCGCACACTACGATTTTCTCCTGTGTCGTGGGTGCGTTTACAAACATACAAGTTCACATACACATGACACACAGACCCGAAACAACAATTTGTGGATCACATAAAGTGTTGCTCCGTGCTGGAATGGAAGCCGCTGCACGTAGCGCAGCAGCCACCGCATCAACCATACAATCATATTATAACCACGTAGTTATTATATTATTAATGTCATTGTCCTTTTATTATCTCTTGTATGCTGAGCTCCGAGCAGCGCCACCACAGACCGTAGTAGGCGTGTAATGGATGCAGCCGTATTTCTGCTCACCGAGGAGGTTTATTGATTGATTCATCTTTGTCCACTCATAGCAGCTGTCAAATTTTGAGCGTCCAATAGCTTGACACTAGATTATTGTTCATAAGACGAAGAACGAGACGCGCACGCTGGCATCGTCTGGTGGGTGGAGGTGCGGTAGGCCCCAACGGATAACGGATAACTTTAAACAGGCTGGTGCTAAAAATCAGCGCTATGGACTCGAGCCTTCATGCACCTAGCTTCACCTAGCTTCACTGACGGACTGACTGACAGACTATTATTTATTTTGTATTTGTTGACGTTTCAAAAGTACCAAACTATGGTTTAATTGAAATAAATGCTTTGACTTTGACTTTGACTTTGAATGCCCAGGCCACAGCACTAAGCTGAGCTCCGGCCTTTTGCGCTACGAATAATATTCTTATTATGTTTATTGTATTGTTGTCTGCATCGGTGTCGTGGCTTAATAAACGGTTTTTCCTAATGGTAAGTGGTTACCGTGGCCTATGTACGCTTGCAACA